TGTCACAGAAGTTAATCCAAAGAAGCATCACCTTAATTTTATGCTATTGTAGCTGTGTTTCCCACTGATTTTCAGAAGAGTGTGAATACCACTTTATTTTAAAGAGCAACTCCTTCAGCAGGTAGTAGTAATAGACTGGGGATGGGGAGGTTAGTGCACCAGCACCAAGAGAAATGTGACACACTTTCTAATATGTCTCCTTGGGTCAGATTCTAGTCAACTTACTAGGTTTTGTGGCAACCATCAATCCTCCTGGATCATGGTATATGCATGAGGGCCACCCAGATCATCAATGCATATGCCTGGGCAGGAATTTTTGGAGGAGTGGAGGCTGTCCAGACCTTCCATCCTCCTTTTAGGCCACAGAGACAGAATCCAAAGACCAGACTGAGTCCAGATGTTTGGTGCCTCCATGACTGTAGTTGTATAAGTGTCTGGTAATCAAACACCAGATCTCATGTGTGGTAGATGAGGCTTCTACCACTGAACCACAGGGGACTTCGACTTACTAGGTACATTAAGTGCATTTACATGCCGAGAGTCTCATTCTGTTCTCTGCTATCTGAGTTCCTGAAATCAGTTAATGTAAAAGACAAGTGGTTTCTCCTTTTCATCACTGGTTTTTTTTTTGTTGGGTTTTTTTGTGACTTGGTCTTAAAGGTAAATTGACAGTGTATTAAAAAAGTAGATGTCTGAATGTATTTTGGGGACTTAACAAGGCGGAATAGAAACATACTTAGGTTTAGGTCAATCTAAGTGCTGATCCATACAGATGTTTGGGGGGGTAAAATAAGGCAAAAAATGGCTGGCCTGATCTACCTTAGCTCACCTGAGGTGGTGCACTAAGTTAGGTGCATTGGGATCTCCTGGTGTCAAAAAAACCCAGAGTGCTGCAAATTAGCAGCGCGGTGAATGCCTGCATGTGTGGCACATGTGGTTTGCTGTGCTGCAGGAAGGTCTGGATACTCATCTGGATACACCCATAGAGTTCAAGAAGGGAAGGAAGCAAGGAAAGCAGCACAGTAAGGACAATGGGCAGAATAAGGAAAAACTAACTTTAGCAAACTCAAGAATCTCTAGGACCCAATCCCATGGGAGGTACGTTTAAGAAGGAAAGGTGTCCAGAAAAGCTGGTTGTCCTATGGGAAACCATGTTAAGAGCACAGGAGAAGACTACCCCAAGGCTAAGGAAGGACTGAAGTGCAACAAAACAGTAGTCTGACTAAAAAACAGCAAGGGCAACTGACACAACTGCCCTTGCTGTTGCACTGAGAAGCACCACCGGCACTTCCGGTTTTGTACCGGCACTGTGATTGACTGCTGGGGACTTCCCCACCCCACTCCCAATTGCTAGGGGACCCTCCCAGTCAACAATCCACTGCTGGTGGCCCCCGAGACTCTGGAGGCACCAGTCACCTATTCCAGAGCCTGAACTGGGATGGTAGTCTGGTTCTGGCAGCTGGGATGTGTAGAACTCCTGAACAGCAGGGCTGCAGACAGGCTCCTAGCAAACACCTAAACTGGGATAAACAGTCTAGTGGTCTGTGGACTAAGACAAAGGGTATCCATGGTCTCAGTGGGCCCAGGACTGGGGCCAAGGCCCAAAAGATAGAGGCCAAGACCAAAGACAAGGCCACAGTTGAATGGTTGTGAGGGCTAGGAGGGTCATGGATCCATAGCCTATAAGGGGTGAGAAGCAGAGTCAGCAACTCATAGCCCAGAAGGGGCAAGCAGTGCCAGGGAACCTGGAGGTCTCAACTGGCCTAGGAGCAGAGCCAAGGCCAAGAAGGGGCCAAAGATCAAGGAGGGGCCACAGCTGGAGAACTGCAATCTGCTACCTGCACAACCCTACCCAGGGCATGCAGGCCACAGATCATGGCTCTACCCTGGCTCTGGACCATGCTGTCACTATTGCAAGATCCAAGCCCGGCTCCAAAGCAGCTCTGCACCCTACCATGCGCCCTGTAAGTGCTGCTGGGACCATTCTCCATGAAAACCCCAGCCTCATGCTATCATTGTACAGCTGCTGCTGGGGTTTCCATGGAAACCAGCCCCAGCCACCTGGGCAGGGGCTGCTGGGAAATGGAGTCTAGCCACCAGCCGGATCTGCCATTTTGCGCCTCCCTCTTAAGATGAAGTAGTGACACCTGAACATCAACATGGGATCGGGGATCCCTGGGGCAGCCTCCCTTTCCAAAGATCTAAGAATAACAAGGCATGACAGGAGAGGTAAAAGGGAACAAATGCGAGAGCTGGAGTGGAGCAGGGACTAAGCAGCCACCAGGGAGCATTGTGGCCACTCCTGAAACCAGCACCTGTCACAGTAGGCAAACCCCAAGCTGATGAAGAGGATCTGCAAACAAATCTCTCTGATCTAAGTGAGTGGGCAAGTGAACTTCAATGTCAACAAGTGCAAGGTAATGCATATAGGAAAAAATAACTATACTTACACAATGCTGTATTCTGAACTAGCTGTTATGACTCAGGAAAAAAACCTTGGAGGCACTTTAGATAGTCCTATAAAAAATCAGCTGAATGTGCAGCAACTAGGAAAGTGCGAAATGGGCCATATTCAATTTGGATTCGAATTCGGATTCAGCCCATTTGCACTTCTGGTCCACTTCTGGGTCTGCCGCTGAGCATGTGGGGGGCCCCCTGGCTTGACAATTGGGTGTGGAGGGACCCCGGGTGCCCGTCCAGACCCAGGAGGCACCAGTCACCAAGCTGGGGGGATGCGGGGGGACCCCCTGTGTGCTTCCCAGCAGACCTGGAAGTGGACCAGAAGTGCTTCTAATCCACTTCTAGGTCTGCTGCCAAGCGCTGGGGACCCACCCCCCCATGCTTCTGTGGGACACTCCATCCACCCCAGAATCGCAGCATTAATGAGCCACCTGGTACCTTGAGGTATGTAGAAAAAAAATTAAATCTGTGTCTATATCCAAATCATCGAATCTTTCCAAATCTCTCCAAATCAATTTGGAGGGTTCCAATTCGATTCAGAGAGATTAAAGGGTATCTTGATTCGATTCAGGTTTGGAGATTCAGCTACTGAATCAGGTCGAATCTCTGCCAGATTGAATCAGGGACTGAAGCTTCGCACAGCCCTACCAGCAACCACATAAACTAATGCAGTGTTGGGCATCATTAAGGAAGGAATTGAAAACAAGACGGAGAACATCATCATGTCATATGATGTTCATGTTAAAATCCATGATCCACCTAGAGAAGGGCAACCAAAATGATCAGGAGCCTGGAGCAGCTCCCATAACAGGAGAGACTAAAAAGGGTAGGACCCTTCAGGTAGGAAAGGAGAAGTCTTGGGGAATATGA